TGCGGGCGGCGGCGGCAGGCCGGCCGCCCCTTGCCCGGCGGGCCTTTCCTCACCTGGGAGAGCGGGCCTCGCCAGACTCCTCTTCCGGAGCCTGCTGCTTCAGCGCTGCGACTTCCCTGCCTTCAGGTGGCCGTAGCTGAGGTCTGCTGCTTCTTGTTATCTTTGACAGGTGTGCCTGGGAGAGCCTCACTCGTGCACCTGCTCCACCTTCCTGAGGGAGAAGGCCCTCTGTAAGCACATCTGCTGGTGAGTCGGTGCTCCACGGGGCAGAGCATCACGGCAGTAAGGACAGCAGTGCTAGGAAAGGGCTGATAGCAATGTAGGAACTCCTGGAGGTGAAAAAACGTTACCTGGCAAGCTCGGATGTTTTATTTTTCATGTCCATTTGAGAGTGGTGTGGGAGTGGTGATTCTTTGTACAGGCTGAAGTCCTCAGAGCCTGTCTGCATGGTCCAATTTACTTCTGCAAAGGAAAACTGAGATAGACAGTCATTGGAGCATAATATATGTACATCAGTTGCTTCTACATAGCATGCTGGAACTACCAACAACATGTACCTATTTTTTGCTTTTAATGCCAGGGAAAAAAAGGAAATGCATATCACAGCAGGTGTGCTTATGTTGGAACAAAAATAAATGTGATATCAAAAATAGTCACGTGAGATCCAGATAGTCACTCCTTAGATATATGATATATATGTTTCAAACTTATCAAGAAACCCAGCTTCAACCACAACGGCATACATCTGAGGGGAGAATTTAGAATGAACCTAGGTATTCTTCAGGGTCCGATAAACTACCCCGTATAATCAGAATTCAGTTATGAACCACATCCGTTAACATGAAGTGTGAATAAACTAGCACAACCATGATTAAATTTCAGTACTAGAAAACAGTTTACAAGCTGAAGTCTGCAAATCTTACCAGTGCCTATTTATCTTTGTACATTTTTGTTCCTTAAGGTTTTTGACTGACGAGCAGAAATCAATGAAATTGTTTGCTGCTGCCATGAGTAGCTGTCCCTTTCTCTTTTCCCTATTATGGATGTATTGTTTATCTTGGGACTGGATGGGCTGAATCAAAACCCACTAAATCAATGGAAAATTACTCATTTTTTGGTCTAAGTTAGTTTTAGCTGTCTCGTGAGAGTAACCAGGTCACTGAAGGAATCAAACAAGCTCAGAAGGTGACAAGAATATGAGCTCGGAGTGGGACTATCCCTCTGATGGCGGTTTTCATTTAAATTTATTAAACTGAACAATTTACTACCTTAAGATAACATAAGTCTGTAAGTCTGTGTAAGACTCTTAGCTGTTCCACTTATATTGTAAAACTGAACTAACAAGTAACTAACTTTAGATTGATGTTTTCACATACCAGATATTTTGATTATACGTTATAGGATATTGCTGAAAAAGTACCGATTACCAAGAGATCATGAATGTAAGTATTAGGCTATTTTATGACTTGCATGTAGAGCTTACCAACTTTAAAGCAATATCCTCTGGAGTTTGGATAAAATTTGTTTATAGATCATTGTCTGTCTTCTCCTCCTCTCCCTCCTCCACCTCAAAAAAAGTTTAGTGCTCCTTAGGTATTTTCCAATTCACTTCATTTTTCTAATGCGGAACACTTTCTGTTACATCACTGATTACAACTGTAGTTTCAAGAAAAATGTAAACATGGAAAAAGGCAAACAGTGCAACAGTTTCAGATACATATATATAATGCAGGCTATTAAATTATAAAAGCACCTTGTACTGAAGTTAATCCAGAATGCTGTCAAGATGCTGAGTTTAGCAACTTACCAGTGTAGTCACAGACAAATTTGGTGCTTCACTTTGTAAGAAATTAGCTATAGAAGTATAGTTCATCTTTGGTCACCTTTTTGTAGTGAGTCCTTCACCGTGAATTAAAATAACGGCCATTGTTTTTCTAGCTTAGGGCAACATTTCTACTTTGGTAGCATCTGGACTGTACTATTTCATGAATATTGCCAGTGTCATGGAAATTCCCCCTCAGGCTTCTGGGGATGGGTGGAAGGAAAGCTGTACAAAATATAAAGCTTTACTGTTTTTGATATTTGTGACCTTCTGTCACCAAAACAATAGCTTTCTAATACAGAGGGTGTAGTCTGTATGTCCAAGTTAGCTTTCTGACCTGAGTCAGGATCATTTCCTTAAAAGTTCTCACAGCTTAGGCTATTAGGAACCAGATTTTCAACTGGTTTGTTATGGTTCTTTTCATAGAACTTGTGTGGGAAGAGGAACTTGAATAACTTAAATACCCTGCAGAATAATTAGTTTAAATAACTTTTCCTGGGTAGTAGCCATAACAAAGCAGGTGAACAGAAACCAACCTTAAAGAATGGCTAGCATCCAAAGAGTTGCTGCAAAAAAATACATATACATGCAAACCCAAACGTCTTGGAAGTAGCCAGAACCTAGGCTGTATTTTTCTAATAGAATCAGATTTTAGAACATTTTGCTTTCTAAACTATTGTACAGACAAAATAATTGCAGTGAGAAGTGAACAGGATTTCATCTTAACTCATGAACAGACGCATTCTTAATTATTTTCTTGCTATGGTATATAATGACGTGCGGTATCAGAAATGATGGTGCAAGACTTAATTCTTTGGCATTTGGAAAACATTTTATCTTTTTGAACAGAGGCCTCTAGAGACATAAAAACATTATGCTCTTTATTTTTCCAACATACAGTATTTCTAGAAACACTTCCACAGCCTTTTGGACTGAAACACCGTTTTGACCAACACATGTATTTAGCGAACCAAATTTAAGTTTTTCCTTGAAAACTTTGTTCTTTAGGAACATCTTGGATTCATTTTTGCCTTGGACATCATTTTAGATGAGAACATGCATAAGCAAAATTGTTAGTTTCTGTTCAAGCTAGATAAAACGATTTACAACATTTTAGGGGCTGAAACATACCGAGTATATTTGATAGAGATGGTCCCTACTACATTTTATAGGTGGAGAGCTATTACAGCTAAGTGCAGAGTCACTGCCAAAAAGCTTAAATTTTTGTATTTACTTTTGGTAGATGCCCTTAAGTTGGGTCTTCTGGAAAGAGAAATTGAGGATATGCTTCAGCGACTACAACACCAACAGACATTAAATCCTGGGCAAACTCTCTTCTCACAAACATTAAAGGAGGAGAATGATAGATGCATTCATCAAAAAAAAATTGGTGTAGAGGACGTCTGTCCCATTTGTCAGGAGGAGTTACTAAAGAAGATGCTTCCCATCACTTACTGCAGGTTAAGTATACAATTTGTTTGTTGTTTTGCTATATTTCTAATTACAGAACGTTACAAGGATCTTTTAGTTTAGCTAGCTTCAATACATAAGAATATACGACAGTTGTTATAGCCCTTTCCAATCCAGAAAATTCAGCAGTCCCAGGAATTAAACTGTGGAGGGCAGGAGAAGGAGGAAAAGGGAAGACTGCTTAGTATTGCTTTGTGATTTTCCTAGACGCTTACAGAAAGATTATGGAAATTGTCATTTGTTTTCTGCAGATATAGCTGTGGTAACAACGTGCACATAAAATGTATGAAAATTTGGGCTGACCACCAAGATGACCTGGGGGCTGACTCTGTAGTAAAGTGTCCACTCTGCAGGGAAGAATTTGCACCTCTGAAGCTCATTCTAGAAGAATTTAGAAACTCTAGTCAACTTGTGACTGCAACAGAGAAAGCAAGACTGGATAGGCACCTCGGAATACCTTGTAATAATTGCAGAGCATTTCCAATTGTGGGAAGGTGCTACAAGTAGGTATTTTTAAATCAAGATTTTGACAGTATTATGTCTTTGAGTATATCTTACAACTTTTTGCTTAATCCTCTGTCTTTATTATAAGTAACCAAATAATTTCATCCACAGAATAGACAACATTATTTCTTCTGATTCAATTGTAATTAATTTCTGGTAAATTCATGTTCTAAAGTTATCTAAATAATAGGCATAATTGCTAATGGTGTGTGAAAGCAATCATCATTCTAGAATTCTCTCTTGGTTTACCAGTGTTTGACTTGATGGAGGCCTAGGTAGTGATGATGTAAGAGGCGCTTTATTAGAAGACTTGGACTCCTCTGATTGGACTTATTGGGAGCCATGGGTAATTTAAGTAGCTTCCGGCCGAAACAGTACCTTGGTCCATATAAGCAGTGTCACCTCTTGTAATTGTCTGTCAAGGTCATCATGTGGACTAACAGCTTTTTTCTTCACGTCTGCTTTAAATCAAGTTCACATCAGACATATTCTTGATATTTGGCCATTTGGGGTTAAGATGGTTTTTCCCTGTAAAACTATAATAGCTGTCAAATAATTTAAAATAATGGAAAGCCACATTTGTAAATTACAGAGTCTTATAGCTTACGCTTAGATTTTATTCTGCTTTCATTTTAAACTGTACTTTCCTGAAGAGCCTATCCACAAAGACTTCTTTATGAAAGATATAAAGGTTTAGCAAAATGAAGACTTTTTCTCCTCATGCCGACTCAATATGTGCTTTATATATAAACAAACATAAAGAAACGTAAAGAAAGCATTAAAAGCATAAAAAGCATTAAAGCATAACATTTTTAAACTCTCTTTTTGTGCAGTACCTCTCCAAAACAATTCTGTAGTATGCATTTGGGATTGTCATTTTCCAACTAGTAAATTCAGTACTCATACTCCTACTGTATCATGAAATGCTAACTGTTGTTATCCTAACTCCTTACTCTGTTTTTGTTTTTCCTTTTAGGTGCACTGAGTGTATTGAGTATCACCTATGTCACGAATGTTTCACTGGCTTTTGCCATTCTCCACATGTTTTTGTCTTCAGACAGGTACCAAACAGGTTTTCTTTTTTGTATTCTGCCCTGACCTATATAGCATCATTTGATCTCATTTTGCTTAGACAAATCATGCTTTTAGCTAAGTGTAATTCAATGCAGGTTCTGCAATATATAGATGGACACTGAGATGTGAAAATTTAACCCCTTAAACTAAAAGAGCTTAGTTATCCCCTGGCTCTGTAAGTTACAATTGTGGCACCCTTTTGTGGACAGTAGATGCAAATAAATCCTAGCTTACTTAACATACCTTTCTAGTTTGCTTGTGTAGGTAAGGCCTTACAGTTGGCAAGGTGACGCAAAAAAGGGTTATAGTCACTAACAGTAAATGATAAGGCCTAGAACTAGAGGGCAGAAGCCACAAAATTAAGGAGCTCAAGTGTTTCACTGTGAGTTTGTACTGCTCTATAGATAGCTGGTTCTTTTATACCATTAGGTCACTGTGTAGAGTCAGAGCTGTGAAAATCAGTGAATTCAAGTTACCATAACAACCATAAATGGATACATTCAAACTTGTCTTTGAACTTAATTTTGTTTCCACCTTATCTGTAGATTTCCCGAAATATTAGCTCTTCAAGTTTGCTATTCGTGAGTTGTCTTGAAAACAATGAGAATTTCTTCAAGTCTTAGTTCAAGACTTTAGATATTTTTGATTCCAGGCCTTGCAAAAATTTGAATAAGAGATTTTACTTAAAGTGCCCGTTAGTTCTATTTGCCTCAACTAAAATAGTTAGGAAACAGATTTGTTGAATTGTCTTCAGCACCTCTTTCCATCGTTTACAAGAGAGTTTATATCTTGAGTTCAGCTTGTTTCAATTACTTTTGCACGTTACAGAAGAGAAATAAGAGATGGAGATCTCTTGAACAGCTTTCAGAACTCTCAGCCCATGGAAGAAAACTTAAAAGCTTTAACCCAGGAAATAATTCTAAAGAAGCAGCATTACATCTTCAGGAGAAGTAAGAGCCAGTCTTTTTCCATACTACTTTTTTATAAGAAATGTGAAAAGTTCTCTAACCACTTTCTTTTCTTCAGCAGTATCTGAAAAAATAATAATTACTATACATAGAGCAATAAATATATTTTTATAACAGCATATAGCAATTAATATTTCCAATAAAGCAGCAAATCATCTTAAAATAGTTACAATTAAATATACTTTGCAAACTAAGGAATTCTTCTCATATAGTTTAGAAACTTACACTACAAATACTGGAAGAAATAGTTAAAATTTTCAGAGTCAAAATATCCCTTGGTTAACAGCATTAAAAAAAATCAAATTTTTACTCTTAAAAATGAGAGAATTGATAGTTTTATTGTACAAAAATGAAATACATCATATAGCAAGAAACAAAAACTTTTGCCCTTTCCTGTATCTGGCACATCAATGTACAAGACTTCTCACCAGGAAGACAGTACTACCTGATGTAGTTGCTGCATACATATCAACGTTTAGAAAACCTCAGAAAGTGACATACCAGAATCATCTGAGAAATGAACCAGTACTATCCAAATCAAAGACTGCAGATATTTCTGTACCCTTGTATTATGAACATCTGTTCAAGGTAGTCACTCTTTTATATAATATAAAAACCTTCACCACTACTTGAAAGTTGATCAGACTTCTCTCTCTGCCTTACTCCTTTGTCGAAACTCTTTAAAAAAAGCTACTAAGAAGAATGATTTACTGAGATGCTTATGCAAACATTGTGCACTCAAAATTAAAAAAGAGAAGAATACCACTTACCTGCCAAAGTAGACTACAGGATTAGGTTCAAGGGCTATAGTTAGGAATCCAAATGAAAGCAAGATATGATCTCACATAATTTCAAAACAAAGGTAGCTTTGCAAGAAAATCAGAATATTTGGGTTAATTTCTTGTCCCTGTTACAAATACTGAGCTTGGACCTTAAAAAACCTTTGTTCTTCTTGCTCAGATAAATTGATGTAGAAATTATTAGGTAGAATTTAATGGCTTATGTTAGGCAGCTGTTCAGGTTAAATGAACATATTGGTTTTCTGGGAGGTGTGCCTGCTCATGCCTGTCATAGTAGGATCAACATCACTGGAATAGCTTTTGCAGCAACTGGTTTAGGGGATTGTTTATCCCATTCAACAATTAACGGTACTGTTAAAGAGAAATTTCTATCAAAAGCCAACTTACCATTCTTAAGTGTTCAGTTGCTGTTTCTCCTAATCTTCTAATTACTCCTAATTTACTGTTTTTTTTGTTTTGTTTTAGGACAAGTTGTACCCCAAAGGGCATTGTAAAATCTTTACCCAGCGTATTAGTTAGAAAACATAGTCATTTACTTGCTCCAGGTATTCAGTGTAGACACTGCTTGAAGCCCTTTCACCTTGGTCAACATGTCAGACTCCTACCATGTAATCATAAGGTAAGAGAAAATAAATTGCTCTAAATGTTAAAGAACCAAATCTTAACCTGCTAGCTCGTAGCACATCAGCTTTTCCACAACTCCCACTGGTAACCCTCCAGTACATAATTTAACTGAACGCTCAAGGCACCACTGATAAGGGTGCTCATGTGGCTAGTCTGCAAGTTTGCATCCTGGTTTAACAGTATACCTGAGTTTTAATATCTGCTTTAAGACACAGGAAGCATCCTGGTCAGAAGTGGCAGCTAAAAATCAATTTGTACAAACTGATGACAGGTAGCAGCATAATGAAATGGTCTGATGTGTGATTCTCTGTTAGTGATGAACCAGACTGTCAACTAGTTCAGTCTGCATTCTTATCCTTGGAGCTCAGAAAACGTGAAAAAGATTCGAAGCAAATACTGTATCCAGGATATGCGTATGTATGAGTATTAGGGACAATTCAAATACTCTTCACAGTTCCCTGTTGTTATTGATGTTTACTTCTCTACAGAACAAACTGTGAATAATGGAAGCAGTGGCTGCACACAATTCCACTTTATTGCACTTTTGCTTAGGAGCCGACTCTGGTTCACTGTTCATTTTCTTCCAATTCCCAGTGCATTCAGGAAGAACTTAGTAGCATCTTGAGCAAATTTAAATTTTTAAATTTGTAGACTGGAAAATATTGTTTTGCAAAGATTTTATCTCCCTGGGGTATTGAAATGTTGAAATATTGCCTGTCCAGGTTTGCTAGTTAATGGGCTGAAGCCAAATTAAACAGCTTCTTTCCGTGATCCTTAGTTAGTATCATGAACTGAGTTAGCACCCTGCCAGCCTTTGCGAGACATATTTACATCCACTGAGAAGTTCCTAATTTCAAACATTTAGCTGTGCAGCCTTGATTTCTCTCAGTACTTTTTGCAAAAAGGAGATGAGTTTGTCTGAAATTTGGGCAGCCTTGTGCAAGTCAGCAGTAAATTTCATAATCTACAATTACATATTAGCCAGCTAACCTGTCAGGTTCATCTTTGTTAGTTTGTACCAGCACCCATAAACAAGTCCACAGAAGATACCCCTTTTTCCGATTTATTTAAATAAAGCTAGCTTACCTGACTAGAAGTATTTCTTCATTGATAACACGATAGCAGTAATATAAATCCAACCCCTTGATTAGTTCATTTGCAGGGTCTTTGTTACAGTCTCAGTAGTTAATGCCCTTTAAATCCAGAATTGATAAGGAACAGAGTGAAAAACAGAATTGGGCTGAAAGGGAAAGTTAGTGGAGTCAGCACCGATTCTTTGTATTAGTGAATATGTATATAATTATATTCTCTGTGAGTTAGTTGAAGTCACTTGATATTTGAAGCACCTTAAGAAATGTGATTTAAATGCCAGTTTACAGCAGTCAGTAAGCTAACTTTTTTTCACTCTGTCGGTACCCAAAGTTTAAAATCTATTCATCATATACATGAGCAACATAGGCCCCCCTGGTGGTCAGTGAATATAGCCTAGGTTAGCACACAAGCTTAGAGAAGAGGCTTTTTGGAATTATTGTTATATGCAAAAACAATACAATTGATTAGCCCATATTTAGCTGAAAAGTATTATCATGCAACAGCTGATTTTTCTTTTTCTTTTTAAGTTTCATAGGGAATGTATTGACAATTGGCTACTGCAGCAAAGAAACACATGTCCTATTGATGAATATGTTGTATACAATCCTTTGATTTGGAAGGATATGGCAGCCAAACATGGAATCTGCCCAACAGGTTCTCACAGAAACGTTAGCAAACTTGCAGAGCAAGTGGAACCAGAAATTTTTATATCTGGAAAAGGATTGCTTCTCAAGCAAACATTATCTGGACATGCATCAGAAAGTTCTCAAAGTGGCTTCAAGAAGCCTTATAACAAAGATGTGGCAGACTCTCTAAGCTCTTTTGAGACATCATTTTGCAAGAAGTCCAATACCATCAGATCTAGAAAGAATGACATTCGTAATGCTGGGAGAAGCCAATATCAGTTTGAGTGTAGCAACATGGACGAAGTAGTTCCTTTTAAAAAAGATATGGACTGTGATAATTGCACTATTCTAAGATATCCCAGGGAGTTGAATTTTGAAATCAAGCTGGGTGCAGCAAGCCATCCCTCAAAAAGGGCCAGTAAGGATGTGGGAAACGCCAGCCATCAAAGCAGACTTTTAACAAGACGACCACCTAAACATCATAATCTGAACATTAAAACAGCAAAAACAGATTTATTACTGGAGGCAATTCCACTGCATACCAGCTCATGATTATTGTGTTTTAGATAACATAGCTGTAATGTTTACTTTCCTACTCCATACCTAAGATTTCATAAAAAATGGGAAACAAGTTAATAAATGAATACTCAGATGTCATGAACTGTAGCTACTACAAAAATTTAGTCTGAGCGTTCCTCACAGCACTAAGTTAATCTGCTCAAATAAACACAGGAACTGATATGGCTGATGTAGATGCATCTCAAAAACAGTCAAGACACCTGTAAAATTGACACCATTTCTAATTTGCAATTTCTAACCTTTAATCAAAGAACTTACTTGATACAGAAATGTCAAATGCAGAAAGCTTTTATATTCTTTAAAGACCAATTAGATAAAGAATCTTATTCAGAGCTGTAATAAATGAAGCTAAACAGATATTAGCATTGCCAAAAGAATGGTATAAAATCTGCTGTTTTCAGTGAGTAATAATAAAAGCAATCTAACACAGAAAAGAACCTACTTACCTGTGATAAATTCTGTAAGTTGTGCTATGGTTTAATGATATCTGATACTCAAAAGAGGAGCTAACCTTCCAAATGTTAAACAGGAAACTCAAACTTAGGCACTAAGTCAGTTGCATATATTTGGCCAAGCCAAAGAATAACCGAGTCTAAAAATTATTTCTCAAATGGCAATATAATAATTGTAGCCATGAAATTTTATCCTATTATACTTACTCCTAGTAAATGTAATAACGAGTTTAAATCGTTATTACTTAGGCAAGTAATAATCCCAGCCCCACGTTTGGCTGCCCTAACCGAGAAACAGGAATCAGATTTAATGTGGCTGTAGATATCAATCTTCAGTAGAAATGGAACAGACACTGTGACCAAATTAAGAATTGGTTCATTTCTGAGGATGAGGACAATAACATTCTTTTATCATTAGAATGATGGCAGTCACAGAAATAAACATTTTTAGTGGTATTTAGCAAATGAAGTGTGTAGTGAGAGAGGTAAGTTCCTGGACAATGTACAATTTCAAGAACATTTAAATAAAAATTAAAACATTGATAACTTTTTAAAACTATTTATTATATTGCATAAGCTATAACATTTTACAAACCTTAGTTACATTTTCAGCAACAGATACACTGATACTGTTGTAAATACACTGAGAAATGAAGACACCTCTGACAAAATATAAAAAGATAGAAATACTTAAAAAATGGTGACTGTTAAGTACCTTTCAAATGAACAATGTCTGTATTAGAACGTTTCTGAAAATGATTGCCAAAGAAATGAAGTGCTTGTTTGAATGTACGGCTCCAACATGCAAGGCAGTGAGCACAGCCAGTGCCATCAGCTCATCTCTGCTTCAGCACCTCAGAGTTGGGCTTTAATGAGCTTCATGCTCTGATGAGCACTAAAAAGTGCCTTTCTACACAATACCAAGATGCTGTGAGGATATTTACTTACTGTTGTAATACAGACTGAAGTGCAACATGTGCTTCAAATGAATTAAATCAGTTAAAATGCAGAACAACATACCAGTATATTTGGGGAGGAAAAGTATACAAATGTTCAAAAATCTTAACCATTAACTGAAAAAAACTCCTTCATTTAGTAAAATAATTTTAAGCCGGGAGTGTTTATGTTAAGAATTATGACACAACTTTCCCCTGCCAGCCTTACAATAAGTGGATTCAAAACTTCTTAACAGAAAACATTGAAATGTTTTTAAAAGGAAATGAAGTAATTAAAAAACCCCCACACCTTTGATTTCAATTCTTTAGCAAAAATGTACATGCCTGTTGTTAGAAGCATGGCACAAATTAGTATGAACTACTATAAAAGAATGCTCATTTTTAAATCTGTAGGCCTAGCATAGTGGTTCGCCTCTGTATAATTTCACTGAATTAAAAAAACAAAAACCCCTCACAAAACTGTAGATGCTTGGGCTATGTAAACAATGTAGGTTAGGCCCCACCAAAATGACTTACAAACTGGTTCTAGTACTGTAACAAGAACTGAGTACCTAACTCCATACACTTTCTGCTTCTACTGGCCAGGAAAGTTAGGAGCTGAAGAAGGATTTTTATCAAACTAATAACTTGCGTATATAAAAGTATATGAATTTTGTTTTTCAAGTTAAAATCCCAGTCAGTTTCATACCTGTAAATCCCGTGATTTCAAGATGCTTACTCTTAGCTTAAGTTGAATCAAATCCTGCATGTGCATTTTTAAAAGATACAGCTCTTGAGATTGCTAAAGATATCACTTTTTCCCCCTCTTTTGAAACATAAAATATAAAAAAGACAGGATTACAACAGTTATCATCATCAACATGCAGGACTCAGGACTCCTACATAAAAACACTAGATCTGCTTTTAAAAATATTATAAAAGCGACATAATTTTAAGTATGGTTTGGGGCTTTTTGGCTAACAGAAAAAATACATACGTGTGCTTTTCAGATAGTCAGGTGTTCCACTGATAAAATAAGTCTGATGAAAGAGAAAGGCACTTCAGCAGGCTAATTTACTTTCAGATTTTCCATACATGCAACGTTTCATATGCAGTATTAGACAGTGGATGTAGCGTACTACATTTTAATTTGCACGTTGCTACCTTAGTAATACTATTAACCTACTTTGCTTTTTAACTCATGAGAACAGTTTAGACTGTTGTCCATTCATTTCATCCTCTTTGGTACAAATTACTGGACAAAAGCAAAGCAGACAGCTAGATGTTTTCATGCTTACATCCTGGATTGTTTTATCTGTGTCATCTCTTCTAGATCTACATTGGTAAATTATGTCTCTAACCATCAAATCCAGTTGTGCTTTCAGGTTTGTACGATACCAAACATAAGGTTCTCCATTATTTTTTGGCAGTACTGCCTAGATTTTTCTTTTCAATCAAATAGATTTTTTTCAAATTATTCCTTTTTTGAATTCTGTAATACCTGGCATTTGAAAGCAATCTGAAAACTACTTCCAAATAGCTTATTCTAGGGAACATAACAAGATAAATGTGCATGAAGCTATAGGTTATTTAATTTGATCGCTTCCCTTGACTTATGATATGCCAAAGAACTGATCTGAGCCACATAGCTATTCTGCATAAACAGGTCTTGGCTAAATCCATCTGCTCCTTATCAGAACCATGTTAGACCTGGAACTGGTAACACATTCGGGAAAGAACAGAAGAATCTCAACGTTGTGTATTGTAACCACGGGGGGGGGGGGGGGGGGAGCATCGTCAAGTTTATTAACCACCTTTCATCTTAAACTTGTGACAAAATTTGGTCGTGAGTGTTCTGGAAGTACTTAATGTATACACACATGCACAGTTCCAAATGAAAGGTGACTTTTTTCAAGAGATGATGGTACAAAAAGCATCTTGTGAAGAATTGAGACATAATGCTCACAAACGTTTGTGTTCTTTAAAAGGAATCAATTCCACTGGAGCACAAGTGCCAGTTTGAAAATAAGCATCAGAAAGAAGCCGTATCCTTTCCCGCCTCCCCATCCCTCTCTCCTTAGAGAGGGTTTACATTCAGTTGCCTCAGTCACAGTCCACTTCTACTCTTACTCTCAAGGATATCAACCTCCAGATCCAAAGAAAGCAAAACCTCTGAATGTTCCCATGGTCTTTCCAAGAGCAGTTTGTCATGAATCCATACTACTACTACTTGTATAGACGTAATTTTAGTGCTGGCATTTTAGCACTGTGTTAGTGTTGAAATATTGAGCCAGCAGGAAAAAAAACCCTGTTCTTTGATTCATACAGATTCTTATATAGAAGTCATATAGATTCTATATGTAGAAATATAGACAAGTACTAATGTGACTGCAAAGACAAATTTCATGATAATGTTTTATGTTTTCTGCCTATGTACACATGTACGGTATCTCTGGAATTAAAGTTTTTAGAATGCAGTGTTTTAAACCCCTTTTCTAATGGATGTAAATACAAAAAGAATTCCAGTCACTAAGAGGTAATAGAGGTTTCCAGTGCATAAATTCTAACATAGAGCTGGAACACGAAGACTCAGACAACGTACTTTATAAATACTGAATATAAATATGAAGTATAATTTTAATTATTGTATAGTTATATAGAGATTTTTAAAAATCAGAGATTTAATGCTCATGATGGAGTCAAGGAAGAATTCCCTGTCATTGTGTGCTTAGGAGTTTCAAGTGTTTTCACACACCATTTATCTCTGTAGATACAACTGTAGCCAATAACTTCTCTCAACAGACTAGTGTCCCATATTCTGACACAGAAAACAAGTTATGTGTTAGCTTTTAATATAGAACTAGACTTTAGCAAAGCCTTTTGAAGCACTACCAGCAGCATAAAAACATTATGTGGTAAATGCTAGCAAGTTACACAGAAAAGTTAGCGTATGGGATCTACAAAGAAAGCAAATATAGCTGTTGCTTGACTGGCCTGGATAGAAGCAACCGTTAACAATAAAGGCTGCTTTGAAAATGGTATTAGCAGAACCACAGCATACGCTCCCCAGAAATTAATTAAGTACTAGAGAATTTAGTCCCTGGACAATTTAACTACTTCACTAAAAAACACACCCATACCCACATAAGAGAAGGGAGGAGCAAAGTTCTAGTAGAGATGATACCAGTCCACAATGAAGATCCTGAAGTGAGGTGAACTGCAAAAGACATGCTACAGCTATTTCAGAAGCTGTAAGGACACGGGCTTTATGTACAGATAATATGTATGTAATGAGATGCCTATTTTTCAGAAAGCTTTATTCTGTTTTTCTTCCTACTCCTGAGAAGCCTAGCAGCAAGCAGCTCTTGTAAGGTCTGTTCCCTTCTGACTTTCATTGTTGGCTAAAAGCTGAAGTGTCCCCTATTTATCTATGACCTTTAAAGGGCACATTTTGTACTACCATCTGTACAGGGTCAAATTGTGACTGAACGCAGACAGCTAAAAGCTCATTTAGAATGACGTTACAAAATTGAACTCCACTCTGCTCTGAGTCAGCTAGCATAGCAGACAAGAATCTGCACAAAATCAGTACATCTTCAAGCATGGTTCTTCTGAAATCTCAAATTTACAGCTGAGCTTTTAAACATTTCTAATCCTTTTTCTCTGGTGAACAAATACCCCTACTCTGATGCAAAATAGGTACACTGGAGTGCAAAACTTCAGTCCTTTGAACTTGCACCTATAAAGCCTTTTACTGCTGTCTTTATTTTTTAAATGATACACGTAAGTTTGAGGAATTACCTCTTTTTGGTATTTATAATGAAACAATGCATTAAAAACAAAGAATCTGCAATATATTTAAATTGCTGCAAGTGAACAAAATTATATACAGAGACATATCAATTTAATATTGACTGATGTCTCAAAACCGTTTAGCTTGGCAGGGATTTTCTGTTAGTTTCCACAGAATATATAGTATTCTTTTTTTGAAAAGGGACTCATCAGAAGTGATGCAACTCTAAGACAAGGGCAATTTTAAACCTCAAAAGTCAAATTACTTTTCAGACTAAATGTGTACCTATATTCAAAATTTAAGGGACTCCTAATATATGCAACAAAGTCAAGGATAAAGACCCCACCATTAGGGCTCCAAAGTAAGTCATACACAAAATCCAGTGGAACTGAACACACATCTATTGTAAAAATACATTTTGTAGAGGAATAATGAATTAGTTACCTAACAACTAGTACTAAAGGCATGCTAATATGGCAAGCCATCCTTACCTCTGAAGATGATGAATTGTATAATTAAACGAGATTCTTTTGGCAAAACAAAATTACAGATTTAGTTGCACACCTCTCTCAAACTTATTTTGCACTTTCACATTTGTGAACTCAACAGGAAGATCTATTGTGTTCACGAAGCAACTGCATACCAGAGAAAGTCAGATATATGGATGTATGGCTATTACCATTCAGGTTACTCTGCGTATTTTAGAAACAGTACCAGACAGTCCCGAAAGAACAGAGCTATTTAACAGTAGTGCTTCCTGAGGGAAAGCTCCCAGAAGCCCAGCTGCATAGGATATTTCCCTTCTCTTGAGTGCCACCCTTTGCTGCATCCTGACTGCAGGTTCCTGCTGGATCTAGATAGGCACCTTCTCCTTGCACACCCTGTTTTTCTGTGGAAAGAAATCTTGAAGTATGGGCAAGGAGAGAGTCATAGCGTGCTCGGTAATGGTGAATAACGGGGCAAGGGCATCAGTGTTGCAGTGCAGACCACAGAGTGCACGTGACCCCCTAATTTAGGAACAGACATAGTATGTTTGAGTCTCAGTATAGAACCTTAAATACTGTAGACTATATGGGAAATACTTACAAAACATTTTAAAGGATGATTTATAATCAAACTGCCAAAGCCAAAATGCTGGAACTTATTTCATCAGGGAAGTAGCCTAAAAGCCATAGAAAGTCAGTCTACTATACAAAGCACGTTAAGGAGTGTGTCTACTTTTCTGTTAGCCAAAGTTGAATCTATCACTTTGACAAGATGAACACTAAAAATAAAGAACATTCTGATGGCCTTTTCCTTCCTCTATACATATCTTAGTTACATATCATGCATTCATGACTTTTGGTAACAATTTAACTCCAAGGTGAGTTATAAGCAGTATTTATATTGTGTTACAGACCAAGTTTTGAGATCCGCTTCCTCATGCTCATTTAAAAAACTCTGTAAAAGTCTGTTAACCCCTCTGCGATGCACAGCCTAGGACAAAAGTAGCTCAGGCTGGTAAAATGTAGGCACAATCAATCTCTGATGATCTTCCATATTTTTAAACATGAAATAAAAAGCAATGATGCTGAGCTTCCCTATTAAAGAAATTATTTCAAAAGCATAATTTGTCTAAACTTGCATACTTTTTCATTGTGGGCTACACTCTACCTTAACCTATAAATCTGCAGGAGTCGAAGGCTATGATTCAGAGCACAACAGGTTCAACAGCATGCAGGAGAGAAGATTATAACAAAGCCAAAACAAGCCCACTGGAAGCGGCAGTAGCTGCAGCTTCAAATGCTACCAACACCAGTCCTCTTCTTCTGGAGGCAGACACTTCAGAGCAGGTGCTGATCTTCAGCATCTACAGTTTAGAACAAAGCAGGTTAAACTGAAACGGATAACATTTTAAGTTAAGACAGCAGGGATTTTGAACGGCAGTGGCCCCAGACCTTGTACACTTCACTTCTGCCACTGCTACAGGGAATGGCAACCTTTTGCGTGTGGGTGGGCACACACAGAGGGCAGTACTGCTGCAGAGCTTGCTGATAAACCCAGAGCTCATCTGCTGGTGTCTTCAGACTAATTTATGAAACTTCATATAAAGAAGTAGTGACATATCCCTACAAAAGGTCACATATAAAATACTGTACAGATGGTCACATTTATTAGGAACAAGGCTGGGGAATGGCATTAACCACTCTACCAACACATTACCAACAAGTATAAAAAAATTAAAAGATGCGCCTACATTTCTCACTGTGCATTCCAAGAGATGCATCCAAGAACGACAGGCTAATTAAAATGTGGCCCTTCCCTATACTGCCAGCAAAATTGGGAACTGGAAAATTTTAACAGTAGCATTTCTCTGTTGTCAAATCACATTGCATATCAATTGCTCAGCTGAAGTTATAGTAACTCAGTCTGCACATTAAAAAAAAAATGTAACTTTTCTTGCCACTATAAAACAACGTTTCTATTGTAAACCCAACACTGCAAAATTACACATGAAACCCAGAGCGCATTAACCAGCAGGGAGAGCAACAACACAAAGCACATTGTGTTTTAATTTATAGGAATAAGCGGTCTCTCCTCTCTCTTCTTCCAGATATTGGTTTTGCTATCTCTTTTTGTGATAGATGGTCTGTCCCTTTTTTTAGCTGGAGGGACACTAGACTCACGATTTCCTGTTACCGCTTTTCTTCTTAGGCCTTCTTCATCATGTTGTTCTGTGTCAGGCCTATTCCCTCCATCCAGAATGGGTTTCACAGCCTGGTCCTCTGGAGTGCAAACAGTGGTCCCACTTTCACTGCTACTCAGATCCAGATCTTCCAAGTAAAGGATCTTAGAATGAGGCATATTTTTAATGAAAGTTTTCTCTCTCTCCAGTTTCCTACCAGGATGATGCTCGTTCATGTCCACACCAGAGTCCAGACTAGTATCGTTACTCTCTGTTTTTCTGCCCTTTTTCAGATCTATAAAAGAATGCCTCACCTGAGCTATTGGTTTTCCATCTAGCGACACAAACCATGCTCGAGGGTGTGGAGATGGTTTTCCTTTAGAGAGTTCCAGTAATGTTTGTTCTGAAATACCTTGAAGCTCAGATGAAAATGGAGTCATTACAACTGCTTCATTCAGTGTCCCAGGAACAGAGACAGATTCCAGTAAACTATTAGTGTACCGGCTCCAGTTTGATGTTTGAGAGGGTAAACCCTGTTGCCCATCTAATGTACTTTTTTCATCTCTGCAGACAGAAGGCTGTGGATGAGAATGCACTGGCATTTTGGGTAGTGTTTGTATATAACTATCTCGATTCATGGGTTCCATCATGGGGCTATACACTAACTGCCCTTTTCTTGGCAAAGTTGCTGATCTAGCAGCATGCAGTTGTTCTGGTGAGTGGAAAAGGTCAGAGGTTTGAAGAATAGCAATTGGTTGATTGTAAATATGCATTAGATGTTCTGGGATATGGGAAAGGCCATACATTTCCTCTTTCAGTGGAAGGTACCTGTTTTGGTCTTGAATATCCCTTGGAGTCTGGGAAATATTGTTAATATGCTTTGGCCGCACTAAGTGTCTAACTCCAGCATTAGGCTCCGAGGAATGGGTTGAATTTCTTGATTGACCAGTCTGGTGGGATGACTGATGAGAAGCATCCTCTGTGTAGATTTTAAAATTGTCCCGTGACTTTCCATCTTCTGTTTCTGCAGATGTCTTTCTTTGAGGGCTATACGAAGAAATCTTCTGTGCATATAACTGTGACTTATCCTCTTGCTTTAAAGACCCCTTGACAACACTGGCGTGATTTATGTGAGTTGTTGATGTCGTCTGGTCTTTTTTTAAGACTTCCAGCCTAGCTGTGTTTTTTTCCTTCTTTTTTGTCTGACCACATTTGTCCCTATGCAAAAGAAATGCAAGATAACGGTAGAGCACGCTAGGAAATACTGGACTGTTGACTACAGTACTTGAACATTAGATTTTGCTTAAGAAGTTACTAGTGAAATATGACGTCACAAACTCAAAATGAAGTTCTGTAATCAGAGGTTATTAAAGAAATACAGGCTATGCTATATTAGACTTTGGTGTATTCGGTGAACAAAACATTTGGAAGAGCAAACACACTTTTGAAAACTACTAAGGAAACAAGTCTCAAGTTCAAGAGACCACTTATTATCCTTAAATTCCAGTCATGCTGAGCTTATTACAATTTTTTTTTTAAACTTACCTGCAGTAACAAAGAAGAACAGCAAAAAATCCAATGATAATGACAACAGTACCTCCCAAAATGGCTGTAAGGAACACTGTGTGATAGGCTGTTATGTCCTTGGAAACTGCTCTAATAATGGACTCTAGATTTTCAAACACAAAACCAGGTAACAGTTAGTTTTCCAAAACCAAAGAATTTTGCTTGATGTGCAGAGCTGTCGCTGATAAATTACACTGCACTTTTCCAGTGATTTTGTGCTCCTATGGCACTATTTCATTCCCTCCCTTCTCACCTTGCTCTTTCAGCAAACTTGGAAATACGTTAATTGTGGTTACATGTAATGGATATTCAAGGGTGCATCTCAAACACGGAAGCACTGCCATGACATCTATTCAATTTTAGTCAAGTTACATTGGAATTAGTTGTCCAAACTTATTTAAAAACATGGTCTATATTTTCTGTTTAGTGCTTGTTAGGAAATGCTACCTGTTTCAAATTTTTACATCACTTATCTCCTGCAAGAATCTCTGCATATGAATTAGCAAAATCCAAACATGCAGTAGGTCTAAATGATATAGCATCTACCGGGACCACTCTACCCAAGCCTAATACCTTTGTTGTATTTCCTCCTGTTATATGTGGTCGTCAGGGATAAGGGACACATAGACCAGCTGATTTTTAGATCTTTATGGTCTCTATTCCCTTATAGGTTTCTTCCAAGATATGGTAATACTGTAAACATATGTAACTTTAAATAATGTCTGGACCTTTTCCACAACAATATTAGAATTAATATTATAGGAAACAGTTAGCTCCACAAGGATACACTATGAGAATTCAAAGTTGTCCAACTGTTGAAATTTTTCCCTTTCTATCGTTAAAGGAAACAATTAACTGACAACTTGATGATACATCGTTACTTTGGTTATTCAGCAGTTTCTTTTCTAGTTGTTTGCAATACCTCTTGATCCAGGCAGCGGAGCTGCTATCCAGTAGCCTAAGTGTGGAGCAACGTAGGCCCATACTAATTGATCATTTGCTTCCTTTACCGTTCCCAGCCCTCGGCTTACCCAAGCACCTGAAAAAAGACAGTATTACACATCCTGTGCAGCATTCCTCCATAGCTAAAACCATCAACAACTTAATTTAAAATAATCAGAAATACATGAGGTGAGGAAGTGGAAGAAAAGGTAGTTAGTTCAAGTCACATCAGAAACATCTCTCTCCTTATCCACCGGACTCCTTGTTCCCTCCTTGCAAAGTAGCAGCAAAGGGTCCAGGCTCTGTGCACACTCTACACCTCAGCGCGCACCCGCCAGAAACAAGTCACCTTTACAGAGCCTCCATCAGAGAACGCCTCCAGCTGAGAGAAAAAAACACACTGCTTTTGTTGTTGGTAGGTTAGCATGCCAGGCTCTTGCCCTCACCCAATCCCAGTGCCCGCATGCCTACTTCCCCGCAACACCCACATACGCACCGTGCACTGGCGTATATTCTAACCTGCCCCTGTGCTGAGTCCTCTCTCTCTCTTTTTTCCCCCCCCCCCCCCTCCCCCCCCCCCCCCTTTTTTAAGCAGCATTATTGGGATAGTTTTCTGTTAGTTTAGTGAGTTAAAACAGCTTAGCACAGGTACAGATGAGCACTGGACCCGGCAAAGGTGGCTAGGAAAAGAACCAATGGCATCAAGAAATTAAATCACCTTATACTGCTTTACAGATTAAGAGTCTTATTTTGAAGAAGAATGTTAACTTTTGTCACCAGTTTCCCCTTTGAATTCTTCTAGGTGTACAGACCAATTTAATCTTTTCTGCCAAAAATTCTAGTCCTTTTTTGTAAGCGACAATGTTGCTAACTTTTATTTAATAGGATGTTCTTGATACAAATTAGTGTTCTTTACTAAGGTGAGCAGTTTCCTTGAGTGTGCAAATAACACCTTGCCAGAGTTGGTGTCCTCTCCTGTACTGGAATTCCTGGTTAACAGCTTTTTGCTTTAATCAGGAGTAAGACTTCCTCACTTCTTCATTCACTTGCATGTTTCAAGATAAAGCGTGATGGAAAATATAAGGTACAACGTAAGACAATCAGTACACTAATGCACGCACACCTAACTCAGGACATCTAAGTGGGAAGTGTGCGTGTCCTCATTACTCACTCTTGATTGAGATTAGACATGAAGGAATGACAAAAGGTTTCAAATGGCTAATCCTCAACCTCCTCCTCCTCTGCATATTGTAATAACGTTTCAGGAATATAAGTTTCCCTTCAATAACTTTTATTTCCTCTCCTTTCACTTTCTGAATTGTTTTGTCAACTAAAAGAAATATTAAAGTTATATCTATTCTAGTTTTAATGTCAAAGGATCTTTAGCTCTATACTCTAGAAAACAAAGCATCCTAACCTCCTTTGATTCTGACTTACTTTCCTTTAATAAGGCATCCACAAGATTATTATGCTTAAAATTTAACCTCATCTAAAATGTATGTTCTCTGAATACCTGGCATTCCATGAAAATAAAAATCATAATTGCATTAAAGCTTTGTTTAACATGAGTGCTAATGAATTTTAACAAAGCTCTTTGTTGAACTAATGAAAGCAGGGAAATCCCTTTGAACAAGTCAAGCTATTCAGTCAAAAAACTACACAGAACTACTATACAGAGGGGCGACTATTTACCACCCCTCTCCAAATATCAGTGCCATTACTGTTCTGTGACATATAGTGTTGTGCTCCAAACTATATACATGTGGTGCGATGTGGAACAACAGATAACTTAGCCCACTTACCAGTTTTCATATCAAATGTCCACGCAGGAATAGCATCTCCCGATTTTACAGTACTTGTAGGAAGAGGAAGTGTAATATGAATAGGACCGTTCACTTTCAGTTCTTTCCCAGCCAAAAGAACATTTACACATATTGCAGCAAGAGGAGTCAATTCAATGCTTTTGAAACCTAAATGTAAGAAATATGTTGTCTGTACTCCATTCATAGTGTTGCTTTTTTTAAAAAAAAAAAAAAGTTAGAATTAAGAATCACTCCTCATTATAACTAAAGGCAAGCCCTCATTAGGACCCAGCTACACAGTTAAACATCACTGTAACTTGATGAAACAACTTTTGAATCAATTTTTCTTCTCTTTGGACTTCTTAAATTTTATGATAAAAAAAATACATTTAGTCATTCCAAATCTGTAAAAGAGAAACAGGCGTTTGACATATAGGTTCAACACTGACTGCAGAATCAAAGAGTAAACAAAATTTGATGGGGGGAGGAGGAAGAAAGGATTTTCCCCTCAGACAGTTTAATACATACATTCAAAGTACCCATGTGGAATATAGATGATGTAAGAATTTCTGTCTAAGTGCAGTACACAGTATACATAATACTTTAGCAAACTGAAGAAATATTGCAAATATATAACTGCTACATTTCTCCTCTTAGTCAAATAGTTCTCTTAATAAACTTTCCTGTGTTAGTTTGCTAATTTGGCAGTTAAAAGTAACTGAATAGTTCATTACGAAGCTTGTCAAAGCACTCGGAGGAAACTCTGCATATACAAGGATTTACAGTGCAGCCTGAAAGTTTGTGTCCTTTGTTTCCCTAATACTAATTTGCAAACACTTCAGAAGCCACAGTGTGACAGGATGGTGAAGAGAAGCTGAAACAGAATTATTAAGTACCAGAATAATGTTAAATCTATGCAAGCTGTTGGAAGCCGGTTGTGAGAGAATGTTGGTGCATCAGATACCAATTAGCTTCTACCTGCCCTAGAAGGAAGCCTATTCCTTTAGGAGTATATGAATAATTTAAAACACATGCCAGACACATCTGAAAGGAAAACTGGAAGGGGGAAAGCACTGCTTACTCTCTCATGCTTTAAAGCGGTGAAACATGGATGCTGAAGTTACTAAAAATATGTATGTAAGTGGAGATACCAATATATGTGATGATTTTAACTCAATGAAAATTAAAGAGAGCATGCAAAGTTCAAATGAACTAACTAGTAGCCTCATCACACATTAAAATAAGTTTTTTTTTTTTTTTTTTTTCAGTAGCCTTACAGCTTTAGGTCCTTTGGGACGAGAAAGAAGAGAAAGAAAATAACAAAAGAGAAATGGAACCATACACAGTATGATCTTAACAAAATTATTCTATTTATTTAAATCAAAAATATCTGTGAGTAAATATTTGTGATTCTAGCATTAGAAGTATATTAAAAAGTCTAACTGCATAGAAGCAGAGTTATAATGACTCATGAAACCACTTACAGCTTCTTCAGTGAAAATAGATGTGTAGAAAACATACTACCATGCCTAAACAAGCTTACATAGATTAACTGTCTGTGAGCCAAATTACAGCCTTTGTACAATATTAGCGCTAGGTGTAAAGCTCTTAAAGCCAATTGAAAGACTTCTAGTGAAAACGCAGAAAAAAAATCTGTAGCTGAAGCCAACTGCTGCAGTTCCACTGCCTTCTTTAAGTTCCCCCAATTTACACACTAGCCATAACCATATTTTGAAGGTGTTCACTAAACCATTTCTAGTCTGATGCAATCCTGAATGTCTTTGAACCCTCTACAAATGGAAGTGATTTAAATACTCGCTTAGTGTGAGTTAGGACTTCATAATTGTACTTCAGCACTATATAGAACTACCTCATATATAAAGTAGACTCTGAAAGAGTATTTCAGCGTAGTGAAAGATGCATGTTATGTTCTTACACTATATGGAACATGAGTGAGAGCGTCACAAAGAGTGACATCAATTACTCATTTGACAGGCTTATTTCTTCCTCTTATTTCTACGGAACAAATCACGACATTTTGTGATTTAATGTAGTGGGAGCAGGCACAGGCCCTTTTAACTTTGGCATAGGTTTTCCCAAACATTGTACACTTAGCTGCATTATATTAAAAAACTTAAATAACACATTTACTATACCCGATTTATTTAGAAGAATTCCTGTTGTGTAGAGAAAGCTGTCGACTTTCAGAAATTGCTCTGGCACTGTCAGATAGGCTGTAACATTTGTAATATGGTGATCTGTTGGAAGTTTTATTAAAAATTTTGCAAACTGAACGCTTGGTTGAGATTTGGCATCTGTAAAAGAGTAATATTTTGTCTTAGTGATGGTAAAAAGAAAACCAGTGTTTTTATTACTGCTCAGAAATCTATTTGGCACAAGAATTTGCTTTAACACACTTTCTCCAGGCTTTGTAAATTCTTAGGCTGGTATCTGTCCCCCCCACACCTACAACTACACAATTAACTGAAAATCTGGCCTTGAATAAGTAGGTAATATCTATTTTCCCTTGTGGAAAATAGTGCTCAAGCCGCCACTGGATGAGTAATCTCTACTTTCCACACAAGATTGCAAAGGTTGACAAAGTAACCCTTGATAGACAATATCAATATGTTTTAATAATATATTTTTAAGAAAACATCTGTACGCAAAGTGTTTAGACTATAGTCTGCATACGCTGAACTTACCAGACAATCTTCCAGTAATTAAAACAGTATCTTCGAACAGCCATATATTAGCTTGACTTTGTGGGAATAATGAAAGTGTCACAGACGAGTATACTGTGGAAAATGATAATATTATCTGTTACACTGTGCAAGCATCTCAAAATCTTCTAGTAGGATGCATGATTCTGAAGAAATGGTGAAGAAAGCAGACAAAAAGATGAAAGTGTATAAAGACTGGATAAATAAATGACTCCTGTAGTCCAGAGCATGAATTATATCAGTTAGACAAGAAGATCTATAGGCTGCTATTCTGTGTTCTCTATCGATAAACAACTGGATCGAATTCTTAAGATAACCCACCTCACTTCTCTTTTTTCAGAACAGCAAGACTACTTTTAAAAACCAAGGTAGAATTGTTGTATACAGGAAAACTTGTGGCAGAGCTAAGACACTCCAGGAATCATTAGAGAAAACATGACTTTTGACAAAATCACAATACATAACCAGCCCTTTGTTAACCCTGGATAAACAACTTCTCAGAACACTGTCACAGTATTGCAATATCACCTATTGAAAAGGGAATATCTTCAGTTTTTACAACAAAAACAAATTTGGCAAATGTAGTAGATTTGTCACTCTTATCTGCACTGGCAGGCAAAACCTCCTTTGACTGACTTCGTTCAGTCATTTTTAGTTAACATTAACTAGATAAGACTGCTGAAGAAAGAAATTTCAATTACCTACAGATAAAGTATAATAATAGGACTGTAAGAGGCTTACGCACTTGGCATTCTCCCAGTCTTCCAAGGCAAAGGTGTTAACATGTAGCCATCCTTGTATGATGCAATAGTTAAACTTAATCCTAATTTATAGGGAACTTTTATTAATACTGCTCCATTGTTTCCCGTAAGAGTAGAATTTGTCTTTGTGTAATTAACAAACACTTCTACAATTGCTTGTCGCAGGTAGTGATGACTGATGATGTCATTTACTTGAACTTTTAGTGTAAACAAAGATCCTATAAACAGGAGAGAAAAAAGGGGGGGGGGTCATAATGCATCATGACAAAGGAACATTACTTATCTTCACTTAAAACGAGGCTGTTTTCTAGGCAAAAATAATGTTATGGTTATTGTTTACTCATTTTCATAAATACCTTTCTTTTCCACACCTCCATATTTTAACATTCAAAATGCATTGACACTACTGCGATTGTCCCTCAAAATAGTCAGCAAGGTAATAACTGCAAGGTATAATTAAGCTGATCAGATGTGTATTGAATGCTTTCCCAAATTACAGCTTTTTATCTCTATAACCTTTTTTTCCTGTCATCTTACAAAGCCATCTATGTATAAAAGATGGTAACATTTCCTCAGAGCTGTACTTCTAGAGTAAGGGGGGAAAAATGTGTTTCTGATTCACAAACTACTTTGTATTTCAGAAAGCTTCAGTGAACTATTCAGTCCCAGCTTCTAAATATCATGATGATTGCACAAACTGGAATTAGCCCATTCTCCATCTTAGGAGACGTATACCTTATGGCACATGCCTGTAAACTGGAAAGGTACACTAATAAAACTGCCAAACCTCCTGGAAGACATATAATTTACCTGGAGAAAACAAGTCCACTCTGAAAGTTTTGCTGATTTACTCACACAAGTTCAAAAAGTGCTGATTTTGCCATCGCAATGCTAACATAATGGGCTGGCAAAACGTGCAGGGGCAGACCCAGGCAGATCTTGCAAATTATTTTTTCCAGATGATGACGAATCTGGAATTGTGCTGTTTTCTGGTCACTAAAACTCGCCGTACACAAGCGGGTTGGCTATATCTCAACATTAAATACATTTGACAGTTCTTCTACAATTGGAAAAAAAGAACTCAATCTTAGCTAATTAGATTTGTGCTGCCTCGTGGAAGAGAGATTTGTCTTTTGACATGCCCACTGGGAATGCCAGCTTATAAGACACTGAAACATTTGCTGATACATGTTCATACAATTGTAGCAGCTATTTAGAAGGCAAACAAGAAGCTCTAACATATTTATATATTTCTGAAACATGACCACCAATAAAACGACACCTCACTTTTTTGAGTAACCACACTCGATGCCTCACGAACTGTTGGCCACGGTGGTGAAAGCAGCAGTGCAGTGGCCGCAGTGACGAGCTCAGCCCACACGCTGCGGCCCAGGCGGCTCCCGGGCCGCCAGCGCTCCCCATCCCGGGATGCCGTGCCTCCCGCGGCAGCACCGCTGCCGCTGCTCACAGACTGACGGATGATGGCTCCCGCCAAGGAGGACTGCAAGACAGCCCTTTCTTCACCTCAGTAGAGAGAGTTGCCTGGGAAGTTTTCCTACATACTTTGAAACCCAATCAAATGTCCCCCTTCCTGTTTACCACTAACTTACTACAGCAAGAGAAGTTTTAAACATCAAGCAAGAAAGTTACTCATCTCAATCACACAGACAACTATCCAGTTAAGCAATTATGTTATGGGAATAGGAACTAAAGTATTCACCAGTTCCTTTCTTCAAAAGAGACTTTTTCTCATCCTTGCCTAGAGAATGTTTATATCAAGGTCAGAAAAGTTGTCCTAAAACAGCATATGCTTACATGTGTTTCCTGGAAACTCTCTGCAATGTATTACCATACCATCAATTAACCAGATGAAAAAAAAATGTGCTGTGCAACTTGCTCGGTCTTAGCTAACTGAACAATCAGATTTTCCCATCTTTTGTCTTTGTAGAACACCATATATTTGGGCTTAATCTAGTTAGGGATATGAAAGGTGCACTGACCTGTAAAGAAGAAATCACATCAGATTGTACCATTGCAACAACCCATGTGCAACAACACTCAAAAGCATTAATAGAATATTTAATCTACACAGTCAACATACATCTGGGTTTAGTTAAAAAAAAAAAAAAAAGTTTTTTCATAAAAATAATGCCATAAAATAATAATTACTTAACATTTCCTTAAATATACAGTAATGATAGTGACAAACTGCAAAAGCATATCTATAAGAACTGAAAACCTATAATACCTTTAAAGCTCATAAAAAATCCATGTACATGAAGGTGAGTTATGACAGCAACTAGCTGATATAGAAGTGATTGATGCTGAAGCAAGCCTTCCTCACCACAGCGCACCAGTCTGCTGTTATCCTTTGTTCTTTATTAAGGTACGATGCATTGATACACTACAGATTCTACTGCCTTGCACAGTGCATTAAAGTGATTCGGTAAGTGACCCCTAAATACTAGTGAAACTATTTTATGGTTATACTTTGACAGGTATTATCAGATACTAGGATAAGCTCTCTTTGACCAGTTTTCAATCATCATGCTTCTCATAGCTATCAAATAACCTGCAAATTTGATTACCCTTCCCCCCCCCATATCCTAAAGTAGTTTTCATTTGCTAAGCGATCAGTGTTCTTTTATGCTGTCTTACTCCACACAGTCACATATAGACTCTATATAGATGTGTATGGACATGTATAGAGTCATTTCTAATGATACACAAATAACTCCGTATATTCCCCATTGTTAACAGAATATCTCATTCAATAGCTACTTATGTGATTCTTTATGGAAGCTGTTTATATGCTGCTCCTTAAAATAACAGCATAAAATAAACAAAGAAAAATACTTTTCCTCCCTGAAGTATGATACTGGATGCTACTAAAATACAAAAACCACTGCAAGTGTTTTACAACTTTATTGAATGCTTAAAAGCATCATCTATAAAATTTATTTTCAGTGTATTACAACTGAACTCACATGGTTCAAGAAGTTCTGCAGAAATTCCGCAAACTAATGTCTTTCTAGCAAGCAATGAAAATCAGTCCCTCTAGAACGGGGAACCTTAGATTTACATACTAACAACATACATCATATGGCAAATATCATCATTCTACCTGACTGAAAAGAAAAATACGTAAAAGCTGAAAATGAGCTTACACAATTTTATTCTTATGCACCTAGTACAAGACTCACTCTGGAAATTAAAACTTTCATATAGTTAGCAAATAGCTATGTAAGAAATTTTAACCTTGAGGGGAGTGGGTAAAGAACCCGAGTGCAGAAGGACAGTCCTGGGTTACACTGATACCTACATGGCAAGCTTTGATAATTTTAAAGTAAGTACGGACTGCTGCTTGAAATACACTTTGGAAAAAGGCGCTCCTGACGTTTCACTTCTGTATGTCAGTGGTGCTGTTCAATAGTGTTCAAATGAAACTTGAGTTCAAAGACATGAGTTTATGACAGTAATCTCTCTAGGTAGTGCAAAAATCTTGTTAAAAATAAAGTATTAAATAAACTGGAGCATAGATCCCAGAGCTAATCAACATCATCTGCTCTATTTGAACGCAAATGACCCATTCTGTAGAGATAACACCATATAATCTTTTCAGTACAGTTTTGTAGCCTAGCGCTTGCCTAAGGAAATATTTTAATGCAAGACTGACCATTAAGATGTATATTTAAAAGAGCATCTTTGGCAAAAATTTCTGCAGTGGTGCAGAATACATTACTGACTTCCAGGGACAAAGCAGCCAAACTGGGAAAGTAGGACAACAGAGTATTCACATTGCCCTATTTCTAGTCAAACACTATCCACAGAAGTCATTGACAAATTCACAGTTATGAAGGACCTAAGGCTGGATCCTAAGGGAGACAGCAGTGCCTTCTATACAGGGAAAGGCTTTATGTTCTCTACAACAGACACAGTTTAACCTGATCTAGTCAAATCCAGATGTCTACAGCAAGCATGTGCTTCATACTCAAAAACAAACTGTGGCAGATTACAAATTAGAAAAAATATGTAACTAAAAAAACTAGAAAAATAAACTAGAAAAAGAACATACTTTTACTTAGGTGGGTGATTAGTTACCCACCAGACTGCTCAGGTGAACTTTTCCTAGGGAATAAATAAATAAATAAATCAAAATGTCAACTCATTCTCAAAGTTTTTCAAACTTTTTTTTTTCCACATGTGCTTCAAATAAAGTAGTTTCAGACATAGAGAAATGCTTCCTTACTTCTACAGCAGATGCTGTGATAGGCACATGCAGACCACAGTGCCAGAGTCCTTAGGCATCTCTGTATAAGCGAGAAGAAACGTAAATTACTGGGAGCTCATTCATGTGGATACACATGTTATTTCAGCACATACTGCAGTCTTTAGGTGGCCCTTCTTCCTAACTTACTGGACAGACAGAAATAGTATTTAGAAAACATTTCACTCACTGTCCTGCTTTCTAAGTTTCAGATCAAGACCAGGTCGTTTCGCTCTTAAAAGTAAACATACCCAGTTGTTTCAAGAGACACAAACAGCAGTATAGGAAAGATGTAAATTGAGACTGTAATCTCAAATAGAGACATCTCTTCCTTGTCCACATCTTTTTCTACTCATTTGTTAGTCTCTGAAAACTGATCTTTCCCAGTTTCTATTTCTCTGTATCTCTTATACTGTCCGCTTTCCCTGGAGAATCTCTGCTCTGTATTCTTCCTCCCAGCATTCATTCCAGCCTGGGATAATCTCTGTGACGATATAATATTCTAGCCTGTGAAAGCACTGGCTGTGAAGAAAGGTCATTACTTTTCTAAAGACAAGTTTTTGTAAAATTTGTAAATTAAGTAAGTGGCAAATGCATTAAATAAAATCAGATGTGTTGAATCAAACCTGTCATGATTTGTGTTTTAAATGGAGACTACAAATCTAGCAAGTTGAAGAACTACACAGGATCACCCATGGCCAATAGGCACATGATCCTGAATGAAATTCAGCTTCCATAATAAGTCAGAGACTATTATTTAGTCACAGACTAAATAGTCACAGACTATTATTTATTCATCCATTTCAGAACTGAACCAAAACCCAGCTTCATGTTATAATACATCCATTTCAGGCAGTACAGAAAAGCTGACTACCTAGCGAGATACTGGAAAAAATATCATGTTTTGCAGATAAGGACAAGTTCTATTGTAACGTAAAAGAGATTTTAGTAGCAAAAAGAGAACTA